TACACTCTGGTTTTGGCCCCGTGACTGCCCAAATGAGTGAAGTGTGCGGTGATTCTAAGATCGACGGCACTCATCTGCATGTCATACTGACTGACAGTATTATTTCTCTTCCCCAGCAGACTCCAAGGGCATTTAAATTAAAGGTACAGTGTTCTGCACTAATATAAAGGCTCTCTGAAGCCTAGAAACCCTTTTAATAAGTTAAATTCGCAGCGAATAAATTCGCATCGAATCGAATTTATTCCGCAAATTCGGCGAATCAGCCGAATCGAATTTTTGAATAATTCGCTCATCTCTATTGAAGAGTTTAGATAGGTGTGGTGACAGGTCAGGGGCAAATATTTTGTAAAATTCATTGGTAAAACCATCATTTCCTGGTGATTTGTTGTGAGGTAAGGTTTTGATGACTTTTTCTATCTCCATAGGTGATATTGGGTTGGATATAGATGTGAGTTGTGTTGGGGTTAGTTGGGGTAATTTCGTAGAGCTTAAGAATTTTTGTATGGCTATGGCTGTTGGTTGGGTTGTGTTTGGGTCTGTTTTGAGGTTGTATAATTTTTGATAATAGGCCGCAAAAGCATTAGCTATATCTTACGGATTTGTGAGAGAGGTATGAGTAGTTGGGTGTAGAATTGAGGAGATTTTAGATTTTAGGCGTCGTTGTTTGATTAATTTCATTAAAAAAGAGTTTGCTTTGTTACCTAGGGAATAGAATTGTGTTTTAGTTTTTTGAAGGTTAAGGTCATATTTATAGAGTAGGAGGGCTCGGAGTTTGTTTCTATCTGATGCAAGGGAAGTAGAAATGGAGGGAGTCGGATTTTTTTTGTTCAATTCTTCTTTTAATTTTATTGGAAGTCAGGAGTTGGTCAATTTGTTGGGTTCTCAGTTTGGTGATACGTGAATTTAATTGTATGAGGATACCTCTCATGTATGCTTTGTAAGCAGGCTACAATGTGGTTATAGAGTGATCAGGTGTGGTATTACATTCGAAAAACATGCTGTGCGCTACTAGCAATTGCTTTTTGTCATCCGGGTTCTTCAGTATCAATGAATTTAGTCTCCATATGCGAGGGATTGGGGAATGTTGATTGTTGTCCAAGGTTATGTTGATTGGAGCGTGGTCAGACCAGGTTATGGTGCCAATTTTGGAGGACTTTATATGTTGTAGAGTCCATTTGTCTGTGACGAAGAAGTCAATCCTGGAGTAGGATAAGTGGGATGGGGAGTAGTAAGTATAGTCTTTTTCTGTGCTATGTTGGCATCGCCAGATGTCATAGAGATCATGTTCGTGGAAGAAACGGTTGAAGTTTTGATTGTGGGATCTTTTGTTGGAGGAAGAGTCCAGAAGTGGATTGCCGATGACGTTGAAGTCTCCGCCGATGAGAAGTCTGCCTTGTTTTTGAGAAGATATGGTGGAGTGAAGTTTGTTGTAGAATTGTATCTGTTTGTCGTTAGGACCGTGGATGTTCACCAGAGTGTACGGAATATCGTTGAGTTTGCAGATCAGAATATGGTAGCACCCTAGAGGGTCTACTATTTCTGAGATGTGATGGAATTGAATAGAGTCTTTTATGGCTGTAACGACTCCATTTTTCTTCTTGGGGTTCGTTGCTTGGTATACGTGGGGGGGTAACGGTGAAGATGAAACTTGGGGGTTTTAGTTGATGCGAAGTGGGTTTCCTGTAGGAAGAGTACATCAGCATGAAGTGAGCGGGTTTCTTTGTGGAGCAATGATCTTTTGAAGGGGGAGTTGAGGCCCCGCACATTAAGCAAGGATATATTAATCATTTTGAAAGTTAATAGCTGGGTTAACTGAGTAGGAACGTTGTTTCTTTAATTGTTGAAGAGAGTTGATTGGTCATGGTCGTAGATGATGTCTTTCCATGTTTGGGTTAGTGTGGTTTTGGTTCGGTCTTTGAGATAGGAGACGTTTTCCTTGTTGTAGTGGGAATTTCAGTTGAGCGGAGGAGTTGGTCGATCGACTGGTGATGCAGGAAAGGTTGGAGGTAAGAAAGGGTAAAAAAACATGCTAAAAATGCAAGTAGAATAAGTAGCAGAACTGGCTACTTCATAACAGGGGGATATGAACAGGTATTGATCGTTAAAAATATCATACCAAAAATCTTTTAGCGTAGAAATATTCGGTAACGGGCCATTTACTAGCATGTAGTAATGTAAATATAATGCCCAAAGCAATATGATGCAGGAGGATTGAGGGTGTTGTAAGTCAGGTCCATTCAGCATCCATTTGCTGTGTATTGGTTGAGGTGGATTGGTGTGGCTCTACAGGTAATATTTTCCAGGACTTTAGGAGATCGATGCCTGCTTCTAGGTTTTTGATGGTGTAGATTGTACCATGGTATTTAACGGTGATTTTTGTGGGGAAGCCCCATTGGTAGCTTATTCCATGGTTCCTCAGCGCTTTGGTGATGGTAATTAGCTTTTTGCGGTTATGTAGTGTGGCTTTTGACAAATCAGCAAATAATTTGATATTTGCGTGTGATGGCGGGAGTTCTGGCTGCTGACATGAATTTGTCTTTTATGTGGTAAAAATGGATGCGTGCTAAAACATCTCTGGGGATTGAAGCTGGGAGGAACGATGGTTTGGGTATCCTGTGTCCGAGAGTGATGGAATGAGGTGTTTCATATACTGGTGAATATAGGGGAGCAATGCGTCGTTGGTAACATTCTCAGGTATACCTCTGAATTTAATATTATTGCGTCTGGAACGGTCTTCTAAATCCGCTAATTTAAGGTTTATTTTTTCAATATCAGTATCATGGTCTGCATGTGCGTCAATCAGGTCATTGTGTGCTATACCCATTTCTCCCATTTTACTTTCAATGTGGCGCAGTCGGTGGTCTTGTTGTTGTAACACATTTGAGATTTGAGATATTGAAGCTGTTATATCGCTATGTATTGTTTGGCGTAGAGATAAAAGCATATTTTTCATGCTTATTTCAGTGATTGGTTGGTCAGCAGCAGGGAAGGAATCTATCAAAGATGGCATATTGGTGTGCCCGGTAACATCTGCGTGAAGAGAGGCTGAGTAGCAGATGGGGGGTCCGAGTGTAGTCTGGGCCTGGATTTGGCTGGGCTGCTTGTGGTGGGGGATAGGGGGGGAGAGGACTCACCCGGGTCTCCTGGGTAGAGAGGATTTTTAAGCCTGGGATCCAGCTGCTGGGTGTTGTAGTTCCCCTCATGAGGACGCTGGCCGTTTAAGGAGCCGCTGGCGCCATCTTGGCTGGATGCTGTGACAGGGAAGAAATTGGTGAGCTTCCCTGGTTGTCCAGGGGCTTTCCTGCGTTGTGGCATTGCACAGGGAGGGTACTGACACCCTTATCTTTCAGTCTAGACGGTAAGTTTGCTTTGGGGTCGGGGTGAGCTGTTCCGTGTGCTAGTGGGTGGACAGACCTCCTGTCACATCGCGTCCGTCCGCGGCCGTGCATGCGCCCCTCGTCAACATCAATTTTAAAGTCCAAGGGGTCACTAGAGAGTATTCACTAGGGTAGTAAATTTAGATAAGTATATAAGGGCCTCAGAATTATCCACTGGACTCCAATGATTACTACGCAGTATATGTAAAACCTAGAAAAAGCCCTGAGAAAAGGGAAGGGAAAAATAAAAGATAAAAATATTAAGGGAAGATATTTATGCATATTTCCAATGTATTGGAGCTAGCCCCAATATGGATCACTCCAATATTGGGTAAGAACACCAATTACCGATCAATATACTGACCTTGTTGTAATACAGGCAAAGATGAAGCAATGGGGAAGATAGAATCAATTTGGTGCACTATCTCAATTTTACAAAATAGGAGTAGCCCAAACAGCTAGGATGGTAGAGCCAATACGTCTCTGTAAATACAAGCATCATATACATCTAAGGCTCGATAAATAGCTACAGGGAATAATCTCTCCAAAATATATATGAATGGTGCATAGTATATATAGTATACAACATACAATATATGCACTGCCATACATATACTAAGAGGGTTTAATCCACAGCCAGCATTGCCCTGAATGTCTCCTGTAGTGGAGCCCACTGAGGGCTTACCTAGAGGTAGAGCTGCCCTGCTCTAGGGGGCTGCCAGAAGATGAATTGAGGGTGTCAGATGAAGGAACCACACACACTACGTCCCGCTATGCCTGCAGGATCAGGAGATGCAGCTCCCAATTATGGGATCCCAGCATGGGATGCCAAAAGCGCCGAAGAATGGCGCGTGACATCATCATGCCCGGCCATTAACAGCCGCAAGGGAGGAGGCTGGGACATAACACAAGCGACGCTCGGCCAGTGTCAGCCACTGCACAAAACGATGGAGGTGGAGCGGCCCAACATCACTGCATAGTGGACCCAGTCCCCCCACGAGGGGCGTCCCACCCAGGACCAACTAAAATGGTCCTACAAGCCGCCTGCTGACCAAAGCCATAGAAACGCCAGTGATCCATGATACTACTCCTAAGCTACTCTCTCAAAATCATGCCACAGCCGACCCAAGGGAGACAGGAGGCACGAATAGAATGGGAGGAGGGGAAGGAAGGGAGGGACAAGGAAAGGGGAGACGAGTAGGACAATGCCAAGGGGTACCCCAGACACATCATATCTGCAAAAATTGGCCACAATCCAATGTAAAGAGTCAACTGTATTCGTCTATATAATAAAGATGTCATCAATATACCTATACCAGCATAACACATGATCAAGATAGATACTAAGTGTCTCATCGGAGAAAATATCACGTTCCCAACCACTTAGATATAAATTGGCATACGCAGGTGTGCAACACGTACCCATGGCCACGCCTTAGGTTTGAAGATAATGAGACCCTTTAACTACCTCCCGCCCACTATATAAGGAAATGATGGGCGCAAGGTGGTTCTCTCGTTCTGGGAGGACGTCATACGCGGCTCTGGGAGCACGCAGTGCGGCGATCGGCGGTCCCTCGGACACAGTGGATCACCGATCAATGGAAAGAGCCGAAGATTTCGGCTCAGTCATGTAATCAGCTGTGTCCAATCACAGCTGATCTCATGTAAATAGGGAAATGCCGGTTATTGGCATTTCTCTCCTCACGACCTGTCACGCTGACAGCTCGAGAGGAGAGGAGAGCCGGTAATCGGCATTCTTCGGAGGGGACATCTACACTGATCATCAGGGCACTGATGATCAGTGTGCCCTGATGACCAGTGTAGCCCCAGCAGTGCCACCTGTCATTGCTCATCAGTGCCACCTGCCAGTGCCCATCAGTGCCACATAAATGCCACATATCAGTGCCTACCAGTGCACATCAATGCCACATATCAGTGCTTATCTGAGCTGCCTTTCAGTGTCACCTATCAATGCCAGTCAGTGCCACCTATCAGTGCTGCCAATCAGTGCCACCTATCAAGGCCAGTCAGTGCCGCCTAACAGTGCCAGTCAGTGTCGCATATCAGTGCTTGTCTGTGCTGCCTATCAGTGCCACCTAACAGTGCCAGTCAGTGCCACCTATCAGTGCCAGTCAGTGCCGCCTATCAGTACCAGTCAGTGCCGCCTCAGTGCCACCTATCAGTGCTGCCTATCAGTGCCATATATGTTTGCTGCCTTTCAGTGCCCATCAGTGATGCCTGTCAATGCCCATCACTGCCACCTACCAGTGTCTCCTCATCAGTGCCCGTCAGTGCCACCTATCAGTGCCCATCACTGCAGCCTCATTAGCGCATATCAGTGTAGGAGAAAAATCACTTATTTACAAAATTTTTAACCAAAAACTAAGAAAAAACTCTTTTATTCAAAATTTTCAGTTGTTTTTGGTTTGTTTAGCAAAAAATAAAAAACCCAGAGGTGATTAAATACCACCAAAAGAAAGCTCTATCTGTCTCAAAAAAAAATTTCATATGGGTACAGTGTTGCATGACCGCGCAATAGTCATTCAAAGTGTCGACAGCACTGAAAGCTGAAAATTGACCTGGGCAGGAAGGGGGTATAAGTGCCCAGTAGGCAAGTGGTTAAAGAGAAACCAATTATGTGTGAGGATAAAAGACAGCAGTTTTAACAGGAACTCATTGAATTCCCATTTAGACCATTCTAATTCAAAGAGGAAGGTCCATGCAGTGTTGACGCCCCACTTGTGAGGGATGCTGGCGTACAAGGCTTCCACATCTAAGGTCACGAGAGGGGCGCCAGCAGGCACCAACAAGCCTTGAGCACATGAGGCATAAAAAAAAAAAAAAGTTGACGTATTGACTGGCATTTTCAGTAAAGGAGCCTATCCCTGTTACTATAGGTCATCCCGGTGGCATAATAGAGTTTTTATGTATTTTAGGCAATGCATAGAATGTGGGAGCATGTGAATGTTGGGAATTCAGAAAAGCATATGTGTCTTTATCGATCAATGACTCCAAAAAGGCCACATTAATCATGTCTAAATATTCGATGCGTGTCTGATTTATGAATCTAATTGAAATTGGACGATACCAGTCTTTATTACGTAATATGTTGTAACACATTTGTTCATATGATGCTTTGGTCATCAAAACGATGTTACCTCCCTTATCTGAGGGTTTGATAAGTCAGGATGATTCTGGAGTTTGGCAATAGCCTTCTATTGTTTCACATTCAAATTACTAGTTGTTAATGTCAAGTTCATGCGTTTAATGTCACTAACAGTAGCCTTACGAAAGGCCCAAATATTAGTGTTGGCCATCAGATCAGGAAAATTCTGAGATTTGCATTTAAATGTCTTGGCAGACATTTCCTGGTCACCCTGGGTAGTCATGGTGTTGTCAATGTTGACATTATCAGAATTATCACTTTCCTCTAATAATAACATCAAATCTCGTAATACACAGAAGTCGTGAAGTGTTTCATATGTTCAATCAGCTCTTTGTCTTGTCTCTGTCTTTGTCTATCAGGATCAAAAAGGAATTTATATGTTAAATTTCTAGTAAAAAGATAAAGGTCCTTAATCGTTTCATAGCGATCAATCTGTTCCGTGGGGCAGAAATTGAGGCTGTATTTGAGAACCTCCAATTCATATTGAGTGAATTTATAGGGTGTAAGGTTAACTACACTCAATTCAGCCTTATCCGTGTTTAGGCTGGTGGTGGGTGTGTGAGTGACTGTGTTGAATTGTGTGTCACAAAGGGATCTAAGGTAGCTTGTCCGGTGAGTGTTTGGGATGGATTTACCAGTAAAAAAAACCAGTGTGTGAGAAAAAGTTACTGTGGAGGGATTACTGAAATTATGCGATGATGTACTCGCAGTCGTGGATGTTCTAGTGTGATATGTCAGTGGTTGTGCATTCGAACTGCCTAATTGTGAATTAACCTCCCTAGTGGTATGATTATGTCCATATTTCTGTACTGAAAGCGGTACATTTTTTTGCATGGAAATATGTCATTTTTTTATTGTAGGCCTGTAATTTTTAGGAATAACTCACTGAAATCTGTCTGAACAAGAGTCTAGTAAACATCCCGGGTATAATAAAACTTGAAATACAAAATCAAAAAAATTATAATATAATAAATAATAATAAAAAAAATAATATAATAATGAATTTAATTCAATAATATAATCAAACCAAAAACACTGAAATTTGAAATATAGTGCCAAGTTTGCACATCGCTGAGCTCAGTCGCAGAATAGTTTTCAGTGTCTGATGATGAATTTCCCCAAGAATCATTAGCACTCAATTCTGCAAGTGGTTCTGATTTACTATTGCTGTATTCTAGCTGGTCTAAAACCGCTTTTGACCTAAAGGGACGCTTTTTGGACGCCATGGACGTTTCTCAATTTCCAGGCAGAAAGAGCAGTAAAAATGCAGGCAGGGCAAAGGACAAAGCAGTAGGGACACAATGTATGTGGAATGCTTTGAAACAGTAATGTTTTATTATGTGATATTAGTGTATTAGTGAATGTCAGTTTTTAAAATTTTAAAATTTCCCGCCCGTTCTGGCCCCTGTACGTCCCGACTATCGCAGGGACCGGAATCGCCGGCATCGGCCGGAGGAGATGGCCGGGGATGCTGCAGGGGACACATCTCGGGAGCGCAGGACAAGGTAAGTGCTGCAACGCTGCATGGTATTCCTGAGTGTAGCTTGGGGTTACCACTTTTGGTACTGAAACTTTACCCCGAGCTACACTCGAGAATACCGCCAGGGGGTTAAACCAGGATGTGACAAGGGCACCAACCTGCTCTTGACCCTCCAGCAGGGAAAATGTACACACATATCACGCTTGGCACAGGTCCTCAACCTGGTGGTGTAGATCCTAGTTATGTACCTTGGTGTCCATGATCTCCTGCAGCAGGTTGGAAAAATGTGCATCAATGTAAGGTGGTATAACTCAGCCAGTTCTCTGCTGGTCAAAATTAACTGTCATGCTGCAGTGGCTGTCGATGGGTGTTTGTGTGACAAGGAGAATTGGGGATCTGGGCTTAATTTCACCACATAAGTAGCTTCTGATTCAGGAAACGTGTACTGTCTTGTCACCATTTGAAGAAGTGATCAAAATGGCTGAGCCGAAATTAGGGGGTGGCACAAACATGTATTTGTTTTTTTTTACACAAATTTGAAATTTAAATGGTATATTGCTCACACATGCCATGGGTATATTTGTAATTAGACCCCAAAATATATTCTTCTACTTCTCCTGAGTATGGGGATACCACATGTGTGAGACTTTTTGGCAGTCTAACTGCATACATGAGCCTAAAATCCAATGACCCCTTTGAAAGCTTGATGGTGCGTAAATTCCTTATTTCAGTTCCTCACTACCTATCGCAGTTTCAGAGGCTCTGAATTTCTAGGATAGCACAATCTCCCCACAAATGACCCCTTTTTGGAAAGTAGACACCTTAGACTATTTTCTAAGAGGCATGTTGAGTCAAAGGAATACTTTATTTTTTATTACAAGTTTTTGGAAAATGCCAAAAAAAAAATTTTTTTTTGTACACAAAGTTTTCATTTAACCGTTTCAATACCGTGCAATTTTACACCTTCCTGCCCAGGCCATTTTTCAGGTTTCAGCACTCTCACACTTTGAATGATAATTGCGCGGTCATACAACACTGTACCCAAACTAAAATTTTATCATTTTCTTCACACAACTAGAGCTTTCTTTTGGTGGTATTTAATCACCGCTGGGGTTTTTATTTTTTGCTAAATTAACAAAAAAAAGACCGAAAATTTTGAAAAAAAAACACATTTTTCTTTGTTTCTGTTATAAAAGTTTACAAATAAATAATTGTTCTTCATAAATTTAGGCCGAGATATATTCTGCTACATGTCTTTGGTGAAAATAACCCAAATTAGGATGTATTTTTTAGTTTGTAGGAAAGTTATAGAGTTCACAAACTATGGTATAGATCTGAATATTGATCAATCCTGAAGTACTGACAGCCAATATAATTTCTTGAGGTCTAAGAATGTCAGAACAGTACAGATATCCCCCAAATGACCCCTTTTTGCAGAGTAGACAGTCCGACGTACTTCATAAGAGGCATGGCGAGTTTTTTGAAGCTGTATTTTTTTTGTCATAATTTTTCGGAAAATGAAAAAATTAAAAAAATTATTTTCACTATTTTTTTTTTTACATACTGTCACCAGTGCAGTACAACATCATCATATAACTGGCATGGCGGTGAACAGGGACACTGACTGGTGACAGTATGAAAAAAAAAATATATATATTTTTTTTTTTATTTATTTATTTTTTTTTATTATATTTAATTTTTTATTACATTTTTTTAAATTTTTTTTAAGATTTTTTTTTCATATTTTACTATGACCAAAGTAGTACAATGTTACCATAGTAACATTGTACTACTTTGGGGAAGTGATCAGTATTTTTTTTTTTTTTTTTTTACACAATTTGCTTATAGCAAAGAATTACTTTGCTATAAGCAAGCATTTACCTGAATGACATCGATTCATTCAGCTTTTTTTTTTTTTTTTTTTTGTGCTTAGCTGTGATTTGGTCACAGCTAATCACATGACATGTGCATGTGATTAGCTGTGACCATTCACAGCTAGGCACTAGTATACAATGGATGGCATCATGAATGAAGCCATCCATTGTGTACAACTGTCATGTGACCTGCTGTGATTGGTCACAGCAGGTCACATGGTACCAGCAACGGGATCCGGTACTCGGATCTGTCATCGGCCGAGTCCGAGGTGCACGGCCGGTGACAGATCGCACTGCTGCGGTGCTCTGCATTAGCGCAAACTGCGCATGTGCGGGAGCACGCCAAATGGCGTGAACCCGGAGTGCAGAGACACATTTGAAGCCGCCAAACGGCCATTGGCCGGGCGGCTAATGGTTAAATGATATATTGCTCACACATGCCATGGGTATATGTGGAATTACACCCCAAAATACATTCTGCTACTTGTACTGTGTATGGGGATACCACATGTGAGACTTTTTGGGAGCCTAGCCACATACACACACCTTTGAAATCCTGAAGGTGCATAACTTCCTCATTTCACTTCCTCACTAGCTATCACAGTTTCGGAGGCCCTGAAATGCCAGGATAGCACCAACACCCCCCAAATGACCCCTTTTTGAAAAACACCCAAGGAATTTAATAAGAGGCATGGTGAGTATTTTGCAGATCTTAGTTTTTTCTCACAAGGTTTTGGAAAATACAAAAACAAAAGAAAAAATGTTTCCGTTTTCTTTCTTCGTTTTCCAAACATTTGTGTCAACAAACGACATCTGCAAAATATTCACTATGCCACTATGCCTCTTATCAAATTCCTTGGGGTGTGTAGTTTACAAAAAGGGGCCATTTGGGAAGGGGGGGGGGTATACAAGTCTGGCATTTCA